AAAAAAAAAAAAAAAAATTCGCATAACTTATTCAATTCGATCTCTGCGAGAATGAATTCCTTGCTTGATGTTTCTCTGGTTTACTGCATCCTTCATCTGAATCCTACAATCTCGCGCAATTAAAGCAAAAATTGATTTCTAATGAAAATGCAGAACGTAAATCAAGATGTGGAAGTTTCAACGAGGCGAGAAACGAGTATTTTCGAATTTGAAATTTAATATTGGAACAGAGTGTCTGAACATTTCAACCGTGGCAAAATACGGTTAGAACTGTCATGGCGGCGTTACGTATGTACGTTCAGTCAATGCCAAGTTCGTCACGTTCGTGAAACAATTCGTAAGAACGGATGAACGAACGAACGGTGCAGCCAGTGGAGGACGGAACAGGCGTTTATGCACTTTAATGCACCGACTGCTATGTTTCGCATAGCAGTACCGGCGCGCAGTGTTCTCCTTTAATTAAAATCCCACCCTGCGAGTTGTTTTCAACAAAAGAGCCACGGTTCTCAACCTGATTCTCACGGTTAGGGCTACGCGCCTCCGTTTTAATCGCCTCGTTGTAATTGGATCGCCTCGTCTTTCCCGTCGGTCTTCATTTTTGACTGAAAGAAAGAAAGAAAGAAAGAAAAAGATAAACAGGTTAACTTTAAATCACCGATGATCATTCATCAACTCTGAGTGTATCATTTTGATTAGGTGTGTGGATAATACAGGACTTGTTTGTAATTTTATTTTGTAGAAGAATGTATTATTGCTTGCTACTTATTTATGTTTATATATAATATTTTAATATAACAAATGTTAAGTATGATCCTATTTAGACTAAATTCTTATGTTTGCTTGTTTAAATACTTCCATGATATTTCTAAAATGGCGGAATTTATGAAATAATTTATAGTTCTATAACAATGAATAGATGATTGTTATTAATGTGTTAATTCTCATATATATGGCTACGTATAAATAATATCAATAAATAATTTTAAATTTTGTATTTGTATTAAAGATCTTGTATTTCTATATACAATATATTTAGATTTGTTTCAAATTTCATTAATGTAATAATTACAATCATGTCTCACTATAGTGTTAACGAAATGTCGAAATGTTTTATGTAACACGGTTAATATAAACGAAGCAAGTAGATCTAGAAAAACACGGTTTCTTTCAACAAATGAAACTATAAAAGTGCCTTATATAATATATTTATAAAAACTTTATATAATTGTTGGAGTATTTTCGTGATTAGCTGTAAATATTACAGCTCTTTATGAAATAAGTAAATCTAGGAGAATATGGTTCCCTTCGAGCATTAATAGCATTAATAAAGACACGTTAAATTAAATAAATGAATCTAGCGCCAATGAAAATAATCAATCAAAATATATGTAAAAATACACGTAATAAGTAGATAAATCGAGTAGAACACCGCATTCATCGACAAACGAAACACCGGTTGTAAAACGTTGGCACACATAATTTCATCAACGTGATGCAATCACTCTTGCCAGCGAATTCTCTCGCGAGCACTCTAATTTCCCGAAGACGAGCTTGCGATAATCGTGTTATCGAAACGCACGCGACATGTTGGTACCGTCTGCTCGAGCTGTCTGACCCGGCCTACATTTTCGCCACCATATACAGAAGAAGAGACGGTCGATATTACGACGCTGTGGCGTTTCTCTTCGTAAAATCAGCTATCTTATTTTCGACGGTGCATGTCGCAAGTGTACGAGGTAGTACGTGGACCCGCAGAATCGGCTGGAAAAACGTGTTGCTTTCTAAACGAGCGAAACTCGGCCAGTTGGATACGATTACATGCATGTTTCGTGTTTTTTTTTTTTTCTATTTTTCGACGGGTCTCGCTGGCAATCCACATTCTCCCGATTTCCTTCGTTTCTGCAAACTTTGACATAAAAATTGTTAGCTACACTTATTATACAGGATGTTTTTCGTCTGTCAGATTTTAAATATTTGAAGGGAATCATTAGTTAGTAATTGAAATTATATAATTACGTTCTGAAGAAGTGTAAAATTGAAGAAATGAAACAGCAGTTCACAGGGGACCATAATATACGATTCCTTTTCGAATTTAATTAAATATCTAGCACACAAGATACAATAAATTTTTCGAACAATTTAATACATATATATTCTTTTTTATATATATTTAAGATTAGATTTTTTTTCCACTTTGTTAGTCTATTTTCTGTAGTATTTTCATGCGTTTTTAAATTTTTAAGGGAATAACTGAAGAAATAGAAATTAAATAGAAATTTATTTTATCTATTATATGTTACTATAAATATTCTACTTTAGATATTTTATGTATTTTTGTGTCTTATATGTATTAGAGTGAAGGGTTATAAATTAGTAAGAAATATTATTTTTTGACGAAGAATTTTTATTATGCGTCTAACGTAACATAGGTAACAAACTAGCTTAGTTTTTTGTTTTATTATGACAATAATAATGGCCAGTTCATTTCCATCAGAATGAGCGGCATGCTTTCACTCGGTTTTATGGTGTAATGATAAGGTGTTGAAATCTGTAGAACATGAGAACAGTGTTCTTTCTTAATTTAGCGTGTATAAATAGATTGAGAAATTTAGAACAAGTTCATAAAGATTTAAAGGAAACGGTGCACATATATAGCTCTTGCTTTTTAATAAAAAAATATATTTTTATATTCTAAAAAAGCTTGCACAAAGATGAATTCAGTGCATTGAGAAATTTCGTCGAATAAATCAAATTATATATTTATTCATCTACAAATTAAATTAAGTTATTTAAATTTAATATGTTTGCGAAGATCATTCCTATTTGAGGAAAAGTAAATAAATCCGCGGCACTCAAAGTATTAATGATGGCTCTGAATAATGGCAGTAAATGCTCATGTATCGATTTCGTTTATATATAATTATAAAATTGATTGGAACAATCAAATCTGGTAAATGGATAATATAAACCAATTTCACCGAGTTGTTTCTTTCGCAGCCTTTCTTTTTTTTTTTTTTCTTTCGTTTCATCCTGTTTCGAGACACCAGCATCGTTGCGGTGTGATCCCGGAGGACTTTCTAATTAAAGACAGAATCGATCGTACGATCAATTAACTACCGTTAGTTTTGTACTCGGTGTTCAGTGAAAGTGTGCGCTGCCCGATACGAACGATGGGTTTCTCGCTAGATGACAATGGAAAAGTGAAATCAGTTTCGACCTTCCTATGGCCACCACGCTTCCTTCCTTCGGCCACGTTTAGGTTAGGCGCCTCTTGGCTTCTTCCATTAGCGAAGCATTATCGAATTTGCGGGGCAGTGAACGAAAGTGACTCGTCGTGCAGACACAGTCCGTAAAAAAATTTCCTGCCGAACTTTATACATACGTATAATTCTTTATACACAGGCTGATCCATTTGAATTATCTCCTGCGTATTATAAGGAAATATGTTCAAATCAAGTAAAACTTAAAACTTATTTTGAGGGGGATATTTCATCAAGCGGCGTGCTTCAAGGTTTTATTCTTTTCAAGGAAGATGTACGTCCTTTTCTTTATTTAATTATTTTATCAATGAAATATTTTAAATTATGTATTTTTCTTCAGATGGAATACAGTTTGTTCTATGACGAATTCATCGATCCTTACTCCCTTTCAAAAGTTACCTAACGTTGAACGTATCAAGAATTTATCGTTAAAATTATTATAAAATGTCTTTTCTTTTTCTACGAATTTTGTAAACAACCCAACACTATCACACCCTATTGGATGTTTGAAAATTTATTCACAAAATGTCCTGCAGAATATTTCATTCATAAAATTTCATAGATTCGTCATTTATTCATCAAAGACTTATATCTTCAAATTTAACAAGTAACAATAAAAAGTTAAAAATCTTAAAGTCAACAGAAAGAATTAATTTGAATTTCATTTACATGAACTTCATTTGTTGACATGAAAACCTAATGGGATCACAATTAAATACACTTCTATATATATTGAAGAGAATGTT